TACTGTCAATCATATACACCATTAGTATTGCTAATCAAACCGATTGTCATTTTGCCGCTAATAAAAGACGGATCTTTCTTGATGTCCGCGATGGCCGCGATAGGTATCCCCCAATTGGCCACTGATTGCAGTCAACACACAGTCCATGGATTAGATAACAAGCAATTAGTCACCAGCAATGGTCACTCATATGACAGGTAACATACCGGGGCCCCAGAAATGCTATGAACATTGAATACAGATATAAATAAATGAATTCATGTGATGAAAGCATTGATCATATGTTTAAGACTTACAGTACTGTCCGACGAGAAGACAATTGCGGCGAATGAAGGCATAGGAAGAGAAAGACAGTATGGGATGAGTGGTCAGTCATATGAAGACATGAGTGAATGCATGTCCTCCTCAGTCATACCATACCATACCTGCATAGATATGAACGAAACTCTTTGCTTTTGACCGATTGAATGGCTTTCGTAAGCAATTGTCCCGACATTTGACACAAACTTATATTAATTGTGATTTCAATTCACTTCACAATCAGTTCACAAACCAATATATATTTCCTTAATTATGATCACAAATAACGGCACTATTATTGCCATCAAATGTCCCCCTTTTGGTTGGAAAGCATTGGTTTGAAGTGAACACCAACTGCTTGTGAGTAACGTATTGTGTGTTTGAGATAAGCATTTGTGAAGCGGTTTGCAGTTGTGGTGAGAATCACATCATCTGATAGTTTGTCCTTCAANGAGAATCACATCATCTGATAGTTTGTCCTTCAATTCAATGATTACTATTAATACGGATTTGAATGATACAAATGGACAGATAATAGACAGATATTATACGGAATATAATACATATGTTATATATTATTAGATGGTGTCACTTGATTGTCATCACATAATAGGGAACCTCCTGTGAACTCTCACTAGACTAAGGAATAAATGAAAAGTAAAGAACTTGGTGACAAAACTTCATTTAATTGTTCACAACTTTTTTAATGACTTTTAAAACACTTTACAAAACACATTACATACTTATAAGATATAAGTAATATTAGAAATTAGTCGGACATAAACTTATAGCAACTTATAAGGCATAGAATAACATGAATAAGTGGACTTGGTGCTGTAGTACTGTATAATACTGGTATAGGGTATATGGTAACTTTGGTTAGAGTTAACATGTTACTTAATATTCAATAAATACTTAATTAAATTGCGTTAAATTGTTGAGTTAGTACTGAATCAAGACTTTGACCACTCCTTCGGCACCACTTCTCAATAGATTGAACGCTTCGATCGCTTCTTGGATTTTAAACTTATGTGTTATCAATGGCTTAACATTGAGTTTACCACTTGATATCAATTGTATCGCCAATTCATAGCTATCGATAGATTAAGCAAATTAGTAATTTAGACAAAATTCACTGAATGTCTAAACTGACTCGTCTTTGATACGACAGACACCAATCAAATCCACTTCCCTCATGGCTGCAGAACTTAATGGTATACGTGAATCAGCCCCCAATCCAACGATCCCGACTTTGCCGCCACTTTTGGTCGCATGTATTGCCAAACAAACTGCAAATAAAAGTGAAATGAAGACAAGTTTACTAAACCAGAAAAGAAGATCTCACCCGAAGACTCAACGCCTGTGCACTCAATGGTCACATCGGCTCCCAAACAGTCGGCGCTCAGCTCTTTGCGGATTTTTTGCGCCATTTCTTTGTCGTTAAAGTTTTTGGTATCAATTACGAAGACTCCGTCGGCGCCCAACTCTTTGATTCGGGGATTCATAAAGTTATTTATTATTAATACAAAAAATTATTTACAAAATTAAGACAATCAGACTCTCAGCCAATGAAATACCAAACATACACTTACCAGACGCCAGTTTTAGACGACTTTCATTGATGTCTGTGAGGAATACTTTTGTTGCCCCGAATGCTTTGGCGCACAAAGCACTCATAATTCCGACTGGTCCCGCACCACAGATCAGCACCTGATGGCCCACATGTACGTCCACTCGACGGCAAGCGTGTACCACAACTGCCAGAGCTTCTACCAGTGCTCCCTCTTCGTAGGATACGTTATCCGGAAGTCTAAAGCAATTTAGTATTCATTTATATAAAGTCAGTTCAATACAATGTATTCACATTTGAATTATGGTATTTGAATATTTAGATTTAGATCTTTATGCAGAATTTTGGTGTTAATGCATTTTTAGATAATTAATCTATAAATAACTCTAATATCTGTTTAATGGGTTTTTAAATTGAAACTAGAATTGTTTTTAAAAAGATGTTACTTCAAAATATACATTGAATTTCGATGAAATATAGTATCATATTTGCAATAAATGATTTGATTCAAATTATATTAAACCCAATATTAACACCACACCTATTGGATTGAATGTAAATTAGACAATATTGTTTGTTATTAATATGTATTTTTATTTTTTTAAATCTATTACAACCTATCCCAAAATATAAACACAAACAATTATATTAATTAATTTTAGATTTATATTTTCCTAATTATAATTCATTTCATTCTAAGATTTTATTCAAATATAATATATCCACACCCATTCAGCAAATTAAATCAAAAATATCAAAATCAATTATGTTACTGTATTCAAAAATATAAACA